TGCTGCAGCTCCCTCGCCTCGTGCTTGCGATGTCTCGGCTCGGAGCGCTTGCCTCCGGACGGCCTCTTCGGCCGCGCGCCCACGGCCGCCCCCAGAATGTGCCTGCTACGCCTGGGTCGATCTGGGAGCCCAAATGCCGCGCGTCTGGCTGACGGACGCGACTCCAAAGGCGCGGCAGCCAGCCCAGCAGGCCTATGGGCCGAAAACCCCTTGAGGCTTGGACAGCATCATCGCGAGAAAGTCGGCGATGACGTCGGGCCAGCCGCCCAGCTCCTCGCGCCGCGTCCCGAAATCGATGATGACCTCCAGGAGGGCGTCGCTGAGGTCCGCTGCCCTTCTGGGATTTAGGCGATCGCTGCCAACGCCAGTGCTGCGCCTGAACGTCTCGGCGGCCTGACGCACCCGATCGGCCGAGGGCCTGGGCAGAGCCCCCGCCTCGGTGGGCGGGCGCCGTGGGCGAAAGCGATCACTGCCCTGTCGGGCCCGCCAGACCTCGGAAGTCCACTGTTGCGCCACGGCCTTCACTCAGTCGGGGCCGTGCGCTGGAGCGCCGCGCAGCTCGTCGTCTGGTGCCCAGCCGCGCGGTCCCCGCCTATAGGCGTGGGCCCCCGCCCCTGCGCCTGCTGCCATGGATGCGCGGATCCACTCCTTGACCCCCTGGCGGCGAATGGCGGCAAAATGTCGCCCTCCGCCTCGGCCGCGGCCCTGACCTCGGCAACCCATTCGGCCAGGGGCAGCAGGTCGGGGCAATCGACCGCGAGGGCTACGCGTGTGGCCCACAGCGCCCCAGCGGGAGGCCCTCCATGGACGGGGGCTTCGGGGCTGCCGCACCTGCGCGCGCGTCTCTGCCGCCCGCGCCGCCGCCGCCGCTGCTGCCGACGTAGCCGTCGCCACTGGAATCCGACGGAAGGTCCCCGTGATACCGCATGAAATGCTTGACGGACTGAATGTAGCTGTAGTGCTCGTCGTCCGCTACTGCCCACGCGTCGGGATGGCTGGACCCTGGGGCGATCATGCTGCGGCGGCACTCGTCCTCCGCAGGCTGCGCGACTGACCAGCTCTCCTCGCGCAGCTCCACGACCCTGTTCCAGCGTGCGGTCGCTCGGTCCGTGAAGGGCTGAGCCGTGCAGGTGCCGATCTCGCCCTCGCTGCAGGCGCTGCCGCTGCCTGCGGTTGCCGCTGCCGAAGCCGATGCTGCATGCCCCGCGCTGGGGGCTGCTGGGCGCCGTCCACCTGCTGCCGCCAGTGCGGCGAAGGATCCTGGAGGGTGTGGTCCCCTCCCGCGGCTGCTGCTCCCAGTGCGGCCCCTGCGCCTCCGCCGCTGGGGGCCCCCGCGGTGTTCGCGTCGGCGGTGCCATCGCCCTCGTACTGGCAGAGGCGTGCAACTGCGTAGTGGCGTAGTGCGTGCACAGCTCCATCCACTCGGCTTTGTCGCGCTCTGGGTCGGGAGCCTGCAAGTGTGGGAGCTGGCCTCGCGCGATGCGCTGGGGGGGGCCCCGAACTCCTTGCGCGCCAACCCCGACGGCGCCCCGACCGCCGAGGGCCGCTACTCCTTGTAGAGCGGCGCGGAGGATAGGGGGCTGCGGCGTTGCCCGAGGGTCGCCGCTCAACTTGGGCTGTGGCGTCGCCCGCAGGTAACCACCCCCGTGCGGTTCCCAATCTGTCGGAGGCCTGGTCAAAACATCGAAGGGGAAGGTGGCGCTGATGGGGCTTGCTGTAGTCGCCGCGCTCATCTAACCACCGCTTCGATTCCACGTAGTTGTCGACAGTTCGGCGGCACTCCTCCTCGCCATCCTCGGGATGTAGTTGGCCGAGCTGTCGGGGAATGCAAGCCGGCTCACGCCTGCCAGGGCCCCCGCGCCGCCGCGCAGAAGAGCAGATCCCTCTCGCGGTGCGCATGCGGTTGTCGAAATCCTGCGTCAGGCCCGCGGCGACGTGCGTCGGCAAGCCCGGCATGCGGAATATGTAGGGCGCGCGCTTGTCCATGCGCTCGGACTCGTCGGTGCAATGGTTGGGGCTGCTAGGGTTTGAACCCCAGCTGCGCGCTCGGCGCTCCGACGCGCGCTTGTAGCGCTAGATGGCCCTGGCCTGCATGCGCTCGGCCCCGCGGCGCACGGGGCCCAGCTCGAGGCGCCCCTCAAGCGCGGGCCCCCCGCCATCGGCCTCAGCGCCGCCTGTGAGAAGCCCCGCCTGTGTGAAGTAGTCGCTCAGGTGCATGAGCTTCTCCCCCTTGAAGCTAGCCTTGGGGCCCTTGATGGGGCGCGCCTTCGCCTGGGGGCCGAAAGCGAACTTCGGCGGGCCCCCCCGTCCCCGATAGAAGTCGGCGTCGTCGGGGTCGATCTGCCACGCCCAGACGAGCTCCTCCTCTACGCCCTCACAGAACCCCTTGTTGGCCTCCTCCATGTCCTGCAAGGTGCCGCTCATGTCAATTTGCGCCCGAACAACGTTGTGCTCTCAGTGCATCTCCAGCATGGGCCCGAGAGGGCGGGCCTCGGGGAACGCCGTCGGCCCCTTGGCCCTGAGCGACTGGCCCATGTCGCCGTTGCAGGTGAGGCTGATCTGCGCTGCCATATGTGGGCGGCATGGGTTGGCGCACGCCTGGGCGGTCATGCCCGGACGCGCGCAGGCGAGGACTCGGTTGAACATATCGAAGCTGACAACGGACCAGCCTAGCTCCGAGGGCTCCTTGGTCGGGGAGTGCTGGCAGGCGCCCGCGCTCGTGTCAACGACGTGGCCGCCGACTTTGCAGAACCAGTGCCCCGCGCGCTGAAAAACAAAAAAATCGGGCTCCACGCTCCAGACGCCCGCGGGGACCCACGGCTTCCCTGTGCGCTTGAGGAGGGAGCCGACCTCCTGCAGTGCGGACTGGCTGGTCTCGCTGACGTCGTCGTTGCCCAGGTAAACGGAGCCCAACAAGAACCCGCCAGGTACCGCTCCGTTGACATGGGCTACCGTGGCCCTTCCGTCAGAGACATGGCAGCTGGCCTTGCAACCCTGGTCGCCTGTGCCGCGCGTGCCGCGGGTGGAGCGCACTGCGACTCCAGTGCCACCTCTCACCGCGCGCTGCTGCGATGCCCCCACGGAACTCGCGCCTGGGGTCAGCGCCGCGTTCCAGCCGGCCTGCCTGCACCACTGCTCCTGCTCGACAGCTCGGTAGCCGTCGAGGTGGTGTTCCTGCAAGCAGATCGCGTCTCCGATGCGCGCGTCGGCGACCACCTGCTGCTGAGGGCCCAACTGCTCGCCAAGGGTGGTCGTGGAAGGGCCCCAACCGCTGCCGTTGAGGCCGACCACCGTGAACGTGGGCTTGCTACCCGCGCTTCCCCCTCCGCTTGAGCCCCGCCGAGCGGAGGCTCTGGAGGAGCTTCTGCGCGCGAAGCCTGCGCCTCTGGGCGGCCTGGGCTGCGGGGCCCCCGCGTCGAGCCCCTTCGTCGCCGCTGCCGGCGCTTGCTGCCGCGCTGTCCTCCTCTGCGGGGACCTCGACCTCTTCCTCCATGCTGTCCAGGATGGTCCTGAGGTCGGTCTCCTCGTGCTCCTCGTCGCCGCTGTCGCGTTCTGCTGCTGCGCCCACTGCTGCGATGCTGCGAGCCAGCCGACGAAGCTGGAGGACTTGCTTCTCCCAGTGCTGACATGCCAGAGGCCTGGTCCAAAACCTCAAAGAACGCTGTAGCGCGTTCGCCCTCGCCGAGTGGGGCTGCTGGGAGCCGAGGCGCTGCTGCCGTGGCGCCCGCCGCCACCACTCCTTCTCCGAGTTGCTCTTCACGCTCCCGTTTGTGCTTGGCCAAGAGGTTGGCGATGAGCGCCTGGAGCTCCTTCTCCGCTGCCTTGCTCTGCTCGCGCTTGCCTTCGAACTCAAGCTTCTGCGCCTCGAGGCCCGAGATCTCCCTCGCGGTGTCCACGATCTTCCTGTCGAGCGCCTCCGAGGTGCTCTGCTGGTTCCGCTGCTTGCGCCCGAGCTCGCTGAGCTGCGCGGACGTGGGCGTCTCCTCGGCGAGCTCGTGCTGCAGCTGCGGCGCCTCCTGCCGCTTGCCCGCCAGTGTTCCAGCTGCGCCCTCCACTCCTTCGAGCTGTTTGATGTCGCTCCGCAACTTCCCGAGTCGCCGTGCCCTCTCGTCCTTGGGTGCGGCGTGGGCTGCTGCTGCTGCGCCTCCATCGCTCCCTGAAGCTGCGCGAGCATCTCCTTCGAGCTTTTTGACCTTGCGCCGCAACTGGTTGAGCTCGTGGCGTTCCTTGGTGTCCAAGTGCGACATGCCACTCCAACACGAGCGTGCACCATATCCTTGCTCCCACCAATCAAAACCGCAGCTACGGCAAACGTGCCTGGAGCCCCAGTTCTTCTTGGCTCCGCACTTGGGACGCCCCCATGCTTTGGGCTGCCACTGCCACTGCTACCTCTTCTTGGCTCCGCCTTGGCTGCCACTACCGCTGCTGCCTCCAACGCCGCCTGGCTGACCTCCTCCGCGTCCGCCTCTGCCGCTTTTGCTGCTGCCGCCGCGCGCGGCACCCCGCGCACCACCACCGAATCCCGCCATTGGTCGAGCCCGCCGCGGCTGGGCTCCCAATCGGGCGACTGGGGCCGGGTGTCGGAACAGTTATGGAAATGAAAGAACAGTGGCCGCAAAGGCCTCACTGAAAGCTTGGTCGATTTGGAATCTGACCCAAGAAGTGACGCGACGGCCAGAGCCAGTCACATGAGACCAGACATCTGCCCTGATGCTGATGATGGTGATGATGATGATGATGATGATGATGATGCTGATGCTGATGATGGTGATGATGCTGCTGATGATGATGAAATGATAAGGAGGAGGAGGAGAAGGAGGAGGAGGAGGAGGAGGAGGAGGAGGGAGTCATAAATAAGAAGTGAAGAGTGAGGCGTGATGAGGAGGAGTGAGGAGTGAGGAGTGAGGAGTGAGGAGTGAGGAGGAGGAGGAGGAGGAGGAGGAGGAGGAGGAGGAGGAGGAGGAGGAGGAGGAGGAGAGGCGCAGCGCGGGCGGGGGCACGAGGCGAGCTCGCACTTCCAGGTGCACGAGGGCTCCTCGCACTCGCTCTGGCACTTTCCTTGGCCGGCGCGCCCGCAGCGGGTGCAGTGTTTGGGGCCTGGAAATTGACACCAACACCAACACAGGGGGTTGCCTCCACAGGGGGAAGATGATCCTAGATTTCGGTGTTGGTGGCAATATTTTGGTCACCTTGGAAACCAGAATATTACCACCATCGCCGAGATCGGGATCGTCTTCCCTCGGTGGAGGCACACCGACGATCTTGGTGTTGGTGTCAACCTCTAGGCCTGCGACAGTGGTGCAGTGGAGGCCAGTCCACAAGAAACCTCCCACAAGAAGCCAAACCCCGAGACCCCAGGGCGTCCATGGATTTTTGGTGCGGGAGCGTCCTTTGTGGGCCCCGGAAACGGCAGGGCCGTTTTTTCACCGTTTCCGCAAAAATGCCCCTTGAAAATGGAAACGGCAAAACAACGGCGACCGGAAACAGGTAAAAAACGGCTCCAAGATTGGAACCGGAGCCGGAACCGGTCAAACAACGGCGACGGAACCGGTAAAAAAACGGCGTCGGAACCGGCAAAAAAACGGCAAAACGGAACCGGTTAAAAACGGCCCTGTCGTTTCCAGGGCCCACTCGGAGCGTCACGCCTTCCGCAGCAGAAGCGTCGAAACCCAAGACGCCCAGGGCACCCTGGAGGCGGCCAGGGTGTTTCTTGGCATGGGTCTCCACTGTGCAGTCGGGGCGTTGACCTAAGGAACCCACAATGAGGAACGAGGCCCCTTTTTTCCATAAGTTGAACTTCGATTTCCCATCGAAAACATAAGGAAAACCTGAGGCAAGCTGTGAAACAATCAATGAGCCCCTCCCCAACGAAAAGAGTTCCTTCTTCAGGGCCCCGACTGTATGGGTCTCCACTGTATGGCACTTGTGGGCCCGAGGCCCAACAGCGAATGCTGTCGAGTACCGACGGCGGCCGCTGCAGGGCCGGCGGGCCTGTGTCTCATGTGGACACCGCCCGCGGCGACACTGACAACGAAATCAGGTTCAAAACGGGCAGGACTTACTATTTTGGGCGCCCGAGTTGTCCGGGGTAACTCGGGTCCGGGGTAACTCGGGTTTGGATTCCCGAACAAGAAACCCGAATTAGCCCTGACCCGAGTTACCCCTGATGATTCGGGGCTCTGACTATTGGTGTCCGGCCCCTTTCTTCCCGTACCCATTTCCCACGCAGCCTCGTAATTGGTGGCCGAAGCTGTGACCGAGACTGACCGAGATTCCAGGTTCGAAACCAATGCGATTGTCAATTCTGTTCACGCTTTCGGTCGCACTACGCTTTCGGCGCCACAATCTCGGGCACGTTCTCGGTACGTACCCGATGTTCGGTTACATACCATTTCGGCTGATAAGGGCTGGGCGCCACAACATTTCGGTTGGCATGGGCTCTCGGCCGCCACACTTTTCGGCCCGGGCGAAAGGAGGGGGATAGCAAAGGGGGGGGTGAGAATCAGCTCACGTAGCTGATTTTCCCGGCGCATCCCGGCGCCGGAGGCGCTATGTATCGAGGAATGGGCCTCTCGGTGGGGCCGAAACCAGCTGCATGCGGCAGATCTCGTAACCCCCTTTTCCCAATCCCCCCCCCGTTCATCCGACCCGAACTTTACAGACATACATCCCACCCAAAGTGCGAATCAAGTGAGAACGTAACAACCACCGAACACGAAGCTGCTCGGTCTCCCCAGACCCATCCGGACATGTAAATGCCGCTTTTGAGGCGGGGCCCTCGGGAATGTCTGCGCTGGCCTCCAAGGGGACACATAACCTACTCTACAACGCGTCCTAAGAAGAAGGGGATCGATTAGCGTACGCATACCCATCCCAATGCTTCGGTCGCACCGACTCGGGCCCCCTGCCCGCTCTTCAGGAGAGACTGCAGTCGGGGAGTTGACCTAAGGAACCCTAAATAAGGAACGGGGCCCCTTCCTCCGATGAGTTGAGCTTCGATTTCCCATGGAAAACCTCAGGAGAACAGAAGGCAAACTGCAGAACAATCAAGGAACACCGAGCCCCTCCCCAACGAAAAGGGTTCCTTCTTCAGGGCCCCGACTGCAAGTCCAGATGGAGGAAGCCTCGACGGAGACCAAGCACTGCGTGTGGACTTGCTCCGTGTGGACTCAACACCCCGTCTGCGAGGGGACGCCAAGTCCAGACGGAGCCCGAGCACTCCGTATGGACTGAGCATCTGCCGACCTGTGGAGGGCGCGCCCTTCGCGCTGAAGGCCAGGCTCTTGAAGGGGGGGGGGATGGAGGGGCGACAGGAGCCGGAGAAGAGGGGGGGGGGACCGAGGAGTGGAAGGAGCCGGGCGTGGTGGGGGTGACGGGGGGTAGAGCAGAGGGGGGAGGGCGAGGAGGACACAGGGGGCGGGACGAGGAGCAGAGACGGAGGAGAGGGAGGAGGAGAAGCGAGCGAGCGAGCGCACGATCTCGGCAGCGGTTCGGCTTCGGCGCGCGGCACCCGCCTGGAACGGTGGCGCGTATGGGCGTCCCAGTTTGCTGCTGGTGGTGTTCAAGGCGCGGCGAAAGGAGCGCCCAGGGGAACCATCAGGAGGAGACCGAAGGGGGAGGAGGAGGGATGGAGGAGGGGGCGCGAGGAGGGCGAGGAGAGGGGGGGGGGAGGACAGAGGGAGGATGGCCATGGAGGGGGGGGAGGAAGAGGAGAGAGGTAATGAGGGGAGAACCGAAAGGAGGGGGAAGAGGGGATCGGGAAGCCACAGCGGACGAAGGTACCACGGAGGACGCAGGGGCCGTGAAACTGTGAGGCTATCTCGAGGCCGGGCCTCGCTCGCCACACGGGCGCGCGCGCATCGGAGCCACAGATCCTCTGCGCCTGGGTGGCATAATTCGTGGACACGGAGGAGAACCCACAGAAAGACATGGAAGATGATGGTGATTAAGATGATGATGATGATGATGATGATGATGATGATGATGATGATGATGATGATGATGATGATGATGATGGTGATGAGGAGGAGGAGAGTTGAGAGATGACAATGACGATTAGAAGGAGCCTGGGAAAGAGGATGGGGATCTCCAAGGGGGGGCACGGGCCGAGACGACATAGAGGACCCTCGTCACATCTGGCGTCGTGCCCTGGCGGCAAATCGGCTACATTGTTCAAAGGTGGAACGCGTGCCAAGCGTGTGGCGTCACCCACGGGGAAGGATGACATGGAGGATGGGGAGGGGGTGGGGAGGGGATGGGTGTACCCTCCATCCTGAAGGGTCGCCCTACCAAGGCCCGCCGTCTTCATCCTCCCTGCTTCATGCTCCCTCCTGCATCCTCAACCCTCCTCTTCCCCGTTCTATCCGTCCCCCCTCTCCAACTCCTCCCCTCTCCTCTCCTTCCACCCCGTCGTCGTCCTCCTCCTCCATCCTCTTCTTCTCCTGCTCATCCTTCTCCTTCTCCTCCCCATCCGCGCCCCGCGTTCGTGCGCGAGCTCCCCTCGTCTCTCCTCCTCCTCGCTCCATTCCCTTGGTCCGCCCGCGGTCTGGATGGCCCGGGTCCCGGAACAGCTGGATGTGGCTGGTCGGGCGCCCACAAAGGACGTACGCTTAAGTAGGGCCTGTCCCCCTACAAGGGGATTTTCCACGACAAATAATTACCCCGGCGACGTACCCAACCCCTGCGCAAAAGCGGGGCGCAAATAGTTTAGGATACTTTATAAGGGGGCGATGACGGAGCGAGGGTTACATATGTCTGCAGACGGAATTCGGGAGACTCGCAGGACACTGGCTACAGGAAAAGGGCTTGATAAAGCTGATGATTTACAATTCCTGAGCACTCCTAGCCACTTCGAAAACGGGGATCACAGCAGGCCTCGAAAGTGGCGACAGGTTCACAGATCGCAGCCCCGCAGGGACGGCGAGGTCTCATTTGAATCTGCCCGTGGCCCTCACTGTGCTGGGCCCCCCAGCAGGCCTCGAAAATGGCGGCAGTTTCGCAGATCGCAGCCCCCCAGGGATGGCGAGGTCTAATTTGAATCCGCGCGTGGCCCTCACTGTGCTGGGCCCCCCAGCAGGCCTCGAAAGTGGCGACAGTTTCACAGATCGCAGCCCCCCAGGGAGGGCGAGGTCTAATTTGGATCTGCCGCGATTACCCTCTATGCTGGACCCCCCAGCAGGCCTCGAAAGTGGCGACAGTTTCACAGATCGCAGCCCCCCAGGGATGGCGAGGTCTAATTTGAATCTGCCGCGATTACCCTCTATGCTGAGCCCCCCAGCAGGCCTCGAAAGTGGCGACAGTTTCACAGATCGCAGCCCCCCAGGAATGGCGAGGTCTAATTTGGATCTGCCGCGATTACCCTCTATGCTGGGCCCCCCAGCAGGCCTCGAAAGTGGCGACAGTTTCACAGATCGCAGCCCCCCGCGGGCAAGACAGGAAGAGGCAGGCAGGAGGCAGGAGGGAGGCGGGAGGAGACGCGACCACACTGCTCTATTCAAAACGAATACCCAACCAAGGAGGGTTGGGAAATTACCCTGGCGACGTACCCAACCCCTGCGCAAAAGCGGGGCGCAAATAGTTTAGGATACTTTATAAGGGGGCGATGACGGAGCGAGGGTTACATATGTCTGCAGACGGAATTCGGGAGACTCGCAGGACACTGGCTACAGGAAAAGGGCTTGATAAAGCTGATGATTTACAATTCCTGAGCACTCCTAGCCACTTCGAAAACGGGGATCACAGCAGGCCTCGAAAGTGGCGACAGGTTCACAGATCGCAGCCCCGCAGGGACGGCGAGGTCTCATTTGAATCTGCCCGTGGCCCTCACTGTGCTGGGCCCCCCAGCAGGCCTCGAAAATGGCGGCAGTTTCGCAGATCGCAGCCCCCCAGGGATGGCGAGGTCTAATTTGAATCCGCGCGTGGCCCTCACTGTGCTGGGCCCCCCAGCAGGCCTCGAAAGTGGCGACAGTTTCACAGATCGCAGCCCCCCAGGGAGGGCGAGGTCTAATTTGGATCTGCCGCGATTACCCTCTATGCTGGACCCCCCAGCAGGCCTCGAA